TGCTGCTGCGGGTCGCTGGGTCTTGCTTCCGTAGCACTCCGAGATCACGTAAACGCTCCTGAGTATTCGTATTTATGATTCCGAAATCACATGATGATCGTAATTTCAGCAGACGCTGGCGATCATATGCTAACTTACTGAGTGGGTGCAAAGTTTGTAGCGTTTTAGACGGCGTATTTAGTTCAAATACTCGCAAGTTGTCGAGAGCCCATGCAGCCGCAGCCATTAGGGCGCCGCCTCATGAAATACTAATTTGTCTAATTTGTCATTTTGCATCATTCCAGTTTCCCAGTCAGATCACCCATTTCCCCTCTTGTCCTGTTAGTGTTTAGTTTTAATTTTCTCTATTTTTTATTTATTTTTAATTAGGCTCCCTTTTTTAACATGTTGCTTCTTCTAGGTGCTACAACGTTGTGCATATGGGTTCTTTTATCTGAACACTGACAAATTGTGTACGCTCAGAAAATCCATGAAAGATCTCAGGTTGACCACAGGGGCTTAGACCCTCTTAAGAAAAATAATTGCCTTTTTTCCTGCAGAATTACATGGTGAAAGATATAGTGTTCAGCGTGGGAAGGTCAGTTTGTTATCAGTCTTATACACACACAGATAAGAATAATGCTGGTTTTAGAATCAGGTGTAAATACCTGTTAGATGTTGAAAGAAATCAAAAGAACTTGTTAGTTTGTGGCTGAGCTTTCACCAGAAAATATAAAGCCTAGTATTCTTTAAAGGAATTCATATTGCCTCAAGTCTTTATGCCACTGTAACAATGCTGAATAAGGACAAAATTATAAATATTTGGAGCAAACCTTGTTTTTTTTAAATGATGCACAATTCCATGCCATATTGTAGAGATATCATGCCCTATGTATGTGTTGCAAATGACTTAGCTATGACCACATCAAATTTAGTTTCTTTTTATTTTATGTTTAAGACTGACTGATTTATTACATTTTATGTGTTAACAAATATTGATTATTATTGATTATTGGGGGCTTGTTTCACAGTTTTACTCAAAGATGCATACATGCATAAACAACACTACACGGCTTCAGACACATGCCTCCCCCCTCAAATTACCTTCTTTGCTGGTTTAAATGTGCTCTATAAAGAGAGGTTTTTTCAAATTCATATTATGTCCTTGTTAGGAACAAAATATGAGATGTTTTTTATCCTCATCTTTCCCCATGTTGGCATTTCTTTTTTCTAAGGGTGGTGCCTCTTCGTGTTTGCAGGACCTGGGCACCTTTCCCCCATGTTTGTTTGTGTTTATCTCTCTCTCGGATAGGTTGTTCTGGACTGTATATCATTTTGCTCTGTACAATGACAATAAAGGCAATTCTGTCTATGAATTCTGATACTGATTAGCTGTGGCAGCCATCTTGAATTGAGCTAAGCCCAAAAATTAATCAGGTGTAAAAGTACACAGTGATTGCTTTCCAGATGTTTTATTCCAGTTTCTTTGGTACTTCATGATGTATTTTGCTAACAGAGAGGAGTTGACTCCAACATATGATACCAAAGTTTTAAACAAAGATCTTATGCAATCGGTTAGCATTCAAAGTATGCGTTGTGGATAAGTCGTGGTGACTACCACATAATTTGAGTTCAAAATTTACTGAGGTATACTTATTTTTGTGCTTTCTGAAATCAATTAGCCTTGGCAGCCATCTTTGGTTCTGTCAACACCAAAAGAAGAAAAGTTGAGCTGCTGTGAAGTGGTCAGGGGAGTTGTCCTGTAACCGGGGGGTTGCCGGTTTGATCCCCTGTTCCAGCCTTTGCAGTCGTGTCCTTGGCCAAGAAACTTCACCTGCTTGACCTGTTCATAGTGATCAGAGGGTCTGGTGATACCGATGCATGGCAGCCCCACCTCTGTCAGTGTGCCCCAGGGCAGCTGTGGCTACACTGTAGCTTATCATCATCAGTGTGTGAATGATTGAATGTAGTATTTAGTGTAATGTGTTGTAGAAGTGCAAAGCATTTTAGAGTCCGACGGAACTTGATAAAGCATTTTCTAAGTTAAGTCCATTTAGCATTGTTGATTTTGTGGTATATTTTATGTCCTACCCCTTTAAGAAATGTGGACGAGCGTCAGACCGTGAGCGTGCCCGACCGGAACGCGCATGGGGCGGGCACACGCTTCTTTGTTCAGTTTCTCCGTATCATCACGCTGTTAAGGACCWATTTCAGATGTCTCGCTTAATAAACATGTGTACAAGCTGAAGAAATCGCCTTTTTTCATTTATATATCAGCCTAAGAGTTTTTTAACCGTCAACAAGTCTACAGGAGGACGATCGCTGTTTGTCCATCGAATCAGCCGGATTCGGCCACCATCTGACGGAGACGAGACGGAAGGTCCACATCGCTGGAGGGCCCCGGAGAACCGGACAAGAACCCACAGTTTCTAGCTAAGTGTTTAAGTTAAATATTTAGCTAGCTACCTAACTATAAATATTTAGGTAGCTAGCTAAATATAAATATTTAGGTAGCTAGCTAAATATTTAACTTAAACACTTAGCTAGCTACCTAAATATTTAACTTAAATATTTAAGTAGCTACCCAAATATTTAGCTTGAAACTTAAATATTTAGCTAGCTACCTAAATATTTATATTTAGCTAGCTACCTAAATATTTATATTTAGCTAGCTACCTAAATATT